TTCCCTCCTAAATACCTTCCTGATCATCCATTTAATTACCATCTACAGTTAATATTGTGAATATCAAACTCTTAAAGGTCATTGTGACCTATGAAAAACAAGTGCATTTCTCTAGTGGATGAGTAAACATTGATAAAGTTTAGGCCAGTGAGAGTGAAATAACCAAGGAAAGCAATACACTGCAGTCCCAACAGAGACAGACCCTGTCTGCTGCGCCCTTATCTGCATGTACTAATGATTAATTGTTGATCCTGACTTTTTCCCTCCACCAGCTTCTTTTATAACTCACACTAAATTATACAGGATATGAGGCAGACTATTCAAGGCACAAGTTTATTATCAGTTTATTGTGTCTGATTAGCCAAAACCTTCACTGGAATACATGGGGGAATTCATTATGCCTCTACTGGAGTTTAACTCATAGATAAAATGTTCAAAATAATCTCTTCAACCTGAAATTAGAGTGCTTTGCTTTCCCTAAACTACTCACTTTTATATGCAAGTCAGTATAATTAAGAATAGCTTCAGCTGTAGATAAATATATTATTTTAATTTTTAGAAACATTTTCCAGATTACCAAAAAAGTAAGAGATAAAACTAAGTAAAAAATTGTAGGACCATCATCTTGCTTTTAATTTTTTAATCTCTAAAATCTATAAATAGAACAAGAGAAGTCAGGAAAGGGTTATACTGACATGATCCACGTTCTAAGAATTGATAGCTTTCCTACATCCCTAGCTCAGGAAAGCCTGTTCTTAAATGAAACACTGCCACAATTTCTAGTGGCATAAAATACAATTTCTGTACCAACATGTCTTACAAGATACCTTCAGTGCTAGTAGCTCCATATGCCAATGAGCAACAATATCAAGTGTACCTACATAAATCCATTTAGGAACGCTGGGAAGTTTGCAAGTATATTTACAACATTTATAAGTGCTTACTTAACACTAATGAATTCAAGCTACTACTGTTAAGCATCATGCTTTTGAAGCTCTATATATTGAATTCAGCATTTATTATGCACAGCCATACAACACTGCAGAAGACAGAAATTTTTGATTAGAAGCTATAAAAATCTAGATTCTATCTTCTATGAAGTCCCAGTAATTCATATCTCTGAAGCAGCAACAATATGTAGAAAGCATCAAAATTAATCAGCAGAGCCAGAGTTTTGGGGAAAAGTGTCTATTATTTCTAATGAACTCTCTTTATCAGTTCAGAGATTCCAGTGCAATTGCTTTTCTGTGCAGACATAATATATTTTATGATGTACTACTTTCTAGACAATTATGGCTACTCAACTGTTTAAATCAATAAACTACTCCTAAAGAGTCACTTCTATTTCACTACAGCAAAATAAATTCCCTTATGTGTTTTAAACATCTTTGATAGATAAATTATCTCTAATAAAGTAAAATATTTTCTTATTTTTGACAAATATGTAAGCTAAACCTGAGAAGATATATTTTATAAAACATTAAAACCCATGTGGTTTTGTTTGTTTGTTTCTCTTTTTGTTCTGGGGTGGTTTTCATTGTTATTGGTATTTTTTTTTTATATAGACTTGCTTTGATATTGAAAAATATGAAAGTGCCAGGAGAGATTGGAAAAAAACCCTATTGCTAGCTAGAATTAGGACTAAATGAAGGGCAAAGTAATTCTAACCTAGTGCTTAAATATCAACCTGACACCCAAACATAAACCATAGGTACAAACATCTAAAGCCACTTTTGTGTTTCATACACTTGACTGATGCATGCCTCAGGGATATTTGCTGGTTCTCACAGGTTATTGATTGATACCTGATGCATGAATAGAAGAGCTACTGTTCCTGATAAAATTTGGTTCCTAAACAGACAGGACACAAACTAACTGTGGAGAGAGCAAAAATATGCTTTAATTTAGTGTAGCAAACTCAATCCTAGAGATTTCCTGGTGTTCTAATGAGAGACATTGCACATTTGGAGGGATGACTGTAGTAACTATCAAGTGAGACCTTGCATGTAACATGTTTTAAGGTGGAAGATGGCAGAATATTGTTAAGGAAGCACAAACTACAACAACAAAAACCAAAACGTATCTGTACTGCTACACTGAACTGGAAATCATGGGTTAATCAACAATTTTTTTTATGAAGCACTCTAATTTTTTGACCTCTTAAAATAAGAAGTTTGCCATATCTACAATTAACTTACAAACCAAACAGTTACAGGTGAGCCTCACATAATGCAGTCATAAAAGAAATTCAATCATTTTGTCTTGAATCAACTTACTTGAAATACTTGATTTCTCAGGAGTCATTAAAATTTTCTTCCTACATCTTTTGGGGGCTAACTCTGTGCAACACCCTATCCCATTAATATCTATGAATAATATTGACATACTCCATTAGTATAGTAATATTCATATACATTCACCGGTTTCACTTTAGGAGTTTCACCTTATACAAGTCTCTTTTTCTCAGGCCAGAAATTACCTGCAAGCTATTGGGAATAACTGCTGTTCTCCATCCAGTATTGTTGTAAAAGGTCTTTGAGCTCCTTTCCAGAAACAAGTGGCTGTTGAATGACAGTCCCCAAGTCACAGAAAAGGGAACATACATCTGCCTAGACCAGTAGCTTAGGAGCCTGCTGAAATAATATTTGGCTGTTGTTTTGAGAGGGAAGAGTTGTAATATATTTAATGGAGGAAAGTACAATTACAGTAGCCTCAAAATACGGGTATTTTGAGGAAGGCTTGTAAGTTCAGACACACACAGTTTCAGCCAAACTCAAGTAAAAGGAGTTTAACTACTGAATTTGAGAAATCCAGTTATTTCTAATTGCACACTTTAAAATAGGTAAGGGCATCCATTTTTTGAAGAAATCTACTGCAACCCTACAGATAACAGAGAAAAATATCAGTTGTAACTTCTAGACCAAAGAATGGTTTCTGTGGTTCCTTCTTCATTCTAGACTCAGATATTGCAATTTAGCAGAATTATTCTTAGGGTTCTAGATCTCATGATGGCTTTCTGCTAAAATTTTGTCTCAAGATACATTGACATAACAGTAATAATGTTCTCTTACATCTGTCTGACATTAGCTGCGACAGATAACCGATGTTAATTCCTCATTTTAAATAATGAGAATAGTTTTTAATCCTAGATGTAAGAGGTTTTAAAAATAGTTCTCTTGGAATGACTTTGAAAATCTGGAACTTTAAATCCAGAAATATAAAATCACTGAGAATGGAAATTCTAATTTAAAATACCCAATGTTTGTATTACACTAGGGAGAATTCTTTGCCTTTATTTCAATGTGGGAAAAATGACAATTTCTTCCCTTCACTAATGTTCAACTGTCTCATTGAGAATGTTGTGAAAAGCACCAACAAACATTATTAGTACATGTACAAGAAAGAAAGTTGATGAAAAAGTGGAGGAGTACCATACAGGCCCAAGAACAGACAAGTGCTCAGTTGTCTCTCACCCTTAAAGCTGCTGCCCCCCTGGATCAGAGCAGTGACCTTGCCTTTCACACTGCAGGCTAAGTCCACTTTCCTAGGCTGTGAATAACTGGTGTGGCAAGAAGTCCCATATTAAACTCAAACTTTCTTCCAAGAAAAAACTCCCTTTAAACTGAGGCACTCACCACTAACAATTTTTATTTCAATTAGCTACATCATTAGAAATTATTGTGCAAAACTAGACATGATAACCTACTTAAACCATGTTCATAGTCTCCTTTCAGGGCAGGATGACTTAATGTTACAGTATTTGGATCTCCATGGTCTTTGAGAACAACATAAACTCTGTCTTTCATGAGCCACTGAATGACCTAGGGACTCAATATTATCACCATGGAAATGGTTTGAATCATAAAAATACTGAGACTTACTGCCTTGTCTGAGAGCTGTCTCCTGTTCATCCCTGGCCACAACATGACTGGAAGAGTGTGAGTGGTAGGTTGAGGGAAGGAAGCTCAGAGGTAAAACAGCATGCCATCCTGATTTTTGTTAGTTTAAAGGAAGTAAAACTTTAGTTACAATAATGCTTAGCCCCCTGTATTATGATCTTTCCAAACAATTTTTTTCTTTTACCTCTCTCACCCCCCCCCATATGTAAGTATAAAATAGTTGTTATTTGAAAAAACATTTATCCACAGGCAATTGTAGACATACTAAGCTAGAGGAGGTTGACACTGCATTCAGACAGTATATACAGAAAGAAATTAGATAAACAGGGATGCCTCATAATGAAGTCTGCTTTGTTGATAAGAGAACAAGCTATCTGATTGCTGAATTCAGCTTGCTTCCTGTTGTTGCAGAAATGTACTGTGTAGAGAGATAGCAATGCAACAGTTATTTCAAAATTGAAATTGAAGATGTAGTCATTGTGAAACCAGGAATTGATTTGAAAAACCTAAAAATTCCTCCTTCACCTCCCAATTGGATTTAAACCAGAAAAACTTTTAGTACAGAGTTGCAAAAGGTATGTGTCATTCGGGATTTATAATTTTGACACTCCTATTCTATTCTATTCTATTCTATTCTATTCTATTCTATTCTATTCTATTCTATTCTGTTCTTGCATTTAAACCATAAAAAAAGGAAGTTATATTTAGGATTTATGTTTATATTTTGTGTCTGGATAGTGACTATATCTGGAAAATCACCAATTTACTTTTTGGAAAACAGATGTGCAAGGGAAGTGGTTTTAACATCACATAAGACTGCTGTTTTAGAGATTCATTGAACCCCATGGAGGAAAAAACAAACGAACAAATGAGGAAAATATTTTTTGACTTTCAGCATCAAAATAAGAGAATCCACCAAAAGGGTCTTGCAACTCTCTGGAATATGTGGTGGCTTAAAATACAGTACAATAAAAGTACATAAAATTATACTATCTGTACCATTATTTGCAAACATTTGTATAATTTAATGCTTAACAGGTTAATATGTACTTGCAATAAAAGTTTTGTAATTTTTGAATCAATGTGTTATGGTATGCCACATTTTCTAAATATCACCCTATACAAGCATTACTCTTCATGAGTGAACGGAAGAAATTGGTCTAAATAAATTTTACTCTACAATTAAAGCAAATGGAAATAAGCAAAAGCCGAAGAGTAAATGACTTCCTTTCCTGCAGCATTTGTTTGAAGAACTTGAGCTCATTTCTCCTTTGACATGTCAAAGAAATCTGTAGACATAAGCAGCAGAGATATGAAAGTATGCTCATACATGAAAAGAAATGACAAATGAACGGGAGGGAGGGAGAAATTTAGGAAATCAGCTACCCAAAGCAGAATTACATACACATTTAATCCTTAGGGGAATTTTTTAGTTTGTTAAATTGACAGAGTCATTCTGCAAGAAGGTAACATTTATTCACAAATTAATGATTATTTTTGCCTCCTACTGCCACAGTGAGCCTCCTCATATCAATAATTTCACTTTTATATTCTTTTAATAAGAAAACTATCAACAAGATTAAGATTGTATTTCAATATTTTTGGCTATACTTGCACATTCTGAGAATTTTTTGCCTCTATACATCCAGATTTCCAGTGCAGTAACATACAGCATTAGTCTCATACTTCAATGATTTTTTTTAAATCATCAAGAAGGCAGGACTTACTTTTGTGTCTTTAGATCTCTTCGAAGCCTTTGATATACAAGATGTCTGAGGGAACAGACAAAGACAAAAAACAGAAAAAGACAAAGCTTAACTTACTGAATTCTTATCTTTCCTCTGAGTGAAACAAAGACTAGAATTATGCATCATGTGTTCCTGGTCTCAGTCATATAAAAAACTTGATGTGTTTTACTTTGCTTCTGTTCTGGGGAGCATATAAAGGCCCACATACAAATGTTAGAGATACCGTAAAAATTGATATCTTAAGAATGTATCTGAGAAAGCATAGCCTTTTTGGTCTATATATTTAGATGCAGACAGTATAATCACTCATGTTGGTAAGACTAGATTCATTCACTGCTTTCCCTACACAGACTCCCTATATGCAGATAGAGCCATTTTTTCTCATAAAAATAGCAGCTGGGTCCCTGAAATCCCTTTAGTCTTTCAGAACTCAAAACATTAAAACTGGGAATCAACTTTTATATTTTGTCTTTTTTTAAGAGAAGAAGCCTTAACAAGTGGGAAGAATGGCTGGAAAGTGCTTGCTCACTAACTGAAGGCGGAATAAAAGCTACTGTGGAGGGCTGGAAACAATAGATTCTCATCTGAAGGAATATGTACCCAGAAGTGAGCAAGCTTTATGTTACCAGCATCATTAGACCACCAACTATTTCACATGCACAGCTGGAAGATACTTTTGAGAAATATGGTTCCTCTTCTTCAGGAAGGATTTATTGCATTACATTAGAGCTGTCTTTATCCACCTACACAAAATATTCACTCTCTGCTTGATCTTTCTTCTTACTCAATTATTAGAAGCAATTTGGACAGTTTCACATGCCAAAAGATACCTACTTATAAATATTCTTCTCCTAATTTTTAGTTTGAAGAACATACATGATCACAAAAGGGCTAAAGTGATCTTCCAAAGCATGTATGTTTTCTGTACCATATTAATTACCATATATCTTGCTATGTAAATCTGAGCATCCTGGAATCTTTGCTCACTGTGATATAATAACTCTTTTGAAATAACCAACTCCTGAAATAAACATACTCTAGCATAAGCACAGGACACAAGAATTAACAGTCCATCACATTTGACTGAACTGGTCCCCATCCCATAGTGATTTCTGAACTACAAATCTGTGCTGTCTGACAGACAGGACTTCCCATAAGTATCAGAATTTTGTGATATATATTCAGACAGTATCTGTGTCTAGCTTCAGTAGCTGTCCTGTCAGCTAGGTCCCTCTCTAATATGTCTCCCAGGTTCCACACATCTTTTCTATTGAAAACAATACTATTCTCTGTCATGCCTTTGTTTGTCTTCACTCCATCCTTTATACTTCCCTTTCAACCCTCTTGGCCTAGTGCAAGTCTCATGGAAAACAACTTGTTTAATCATTCTTGGGCATTCAACTTGTTTAAGCATTCAGTGGGCTAAAAATAGATTATAGTAAATTATTTTCTTTCATCTGGAAGATAAACTCTACCATTTGTACTTCAAAATGGATTATAGCATGAGAGAGAGAAAAAGCGAATTCAAACAAAAATTATTGCACTCAATAAATAACTGCCTGAAATAAACACCAAACAATCCTCTATGAACTAAAGATATACAAAGTTATCATGGGATAACTACTTAATTTTTATGACTTATTATTATGATTCAACCAATCATGCAGAAAATTGTAGTGACCAGGTTTTTGATTGCTTTTTTTTTGGAATATCACACTACAAAATATATTTCAATATGATTAAGTGGGATTTTTTTCATGATTTTTTTTCCCCCATAGTGAAATTCTTTTCCTAACAGGTCTGTTTAAGACTACTGCCATTTCATAAGATCTGACATAACTGCATAACTTAAACAATTAAGTAAATGCTGAACCAATCAATTATTGCCAGTGTGTACAGGGTAAGAGCAGATTGATTTGTGTCAGTACAACCTCACAGTCCCAGATTTTCATTGAGATTTCATTTCAATGAGATAAATGAGAGAGATCTTGATGCACATTAGAGAGTAAAAGTGCATTCGGTGATTCAGCAAGGGACATTAACAACATTAGTGAACAAACACAACAGTCTGAAAATGAAACTCTTAAGAATGCAGAACAGTTCTCTGTAAAAATAAAACCAGGAAGCCGTAACAGTTTAAAATAAAGGCATTCCCAAAAGATGCATGCAATGCAACTGAAAGCAGAAACTCTTCAAATAGAGTTGTTAATTTAGAGTAGAACTGGGTCCTGCACAAAGAAACTAGCAACAGCATATTGTTAATTGAAGTCAAAGCTGTGAATCAGTCTCAAAACAAACATTTGATCCAGTCAAATTCCATGGAATATACATTAAATTAGTCTAGTTGCAGATAAGAGAGATGTTACATTCATCCTCTCACAGCTGGAAAAGTTTCTCATAGTGGAAGCATTTTCTGAACCAAATTAGTTTCATCAGCAATAGTCACCCATTTTTTGGTTGTTTCTGTACCCATATTTCCTTCAATACCAGCAAGTTTGCTTGGCATTGTGTCTCCTACAGAAGATTTAAAGGTGACTGTGTCTGCCTACACTCTGAGGCCATTCTGTGACTGCTGTGAGCAGCAGATATTAGTTACTCTTAACTGCTAAACCAGAGGGCAGATGCCTAACTTTTTATATTTTTATAAATATATATAAATATATATTTTTATATATGATACTTTTAGCACTCTATGCCATGTACGACCATCTGAAGAATTTCCACATTAAGGAACAGTTGTAACAATTTCTCAAAGTGTTTAAAACAGCTAAAACCTTTATAGTTGAAGCTCTGCAGTGCTTCAGGTCTAGAATAAACCTTTTTCTTCGAAGGACCTCTGGAGAATATTTGTTTGCATACCTCTTTCCAGATAACCAGAAGTACATTCTTTTGGATGCTTCAATAATCACTGCACTTATTCAGAATCTGTGCTGTATATGATATCCCAGGCTCAGTTGGAGAAATACTGATAAAGCAAATTGCTTTTTTTAGAAATAAAATTGAGGGATATGTTTCCCACAGAATGTCTTTATATAAAATGAATTCTTTTTTTATAATGTTTTATAATAAATTTTCTGCTTTACTTATAAATAGAAAAAAATGTGATTCTGTAACACAACTTGAGCCATTACATAAACATTTCATGGAGTTCCTAATGGTTTCCTTAATTACTGCCTTATTTTTTTAACTTCATCCTCTTTTTTTTTTTTTTACTTTTTAAAGCTCAAACATAATCTGTCAAATATAAATTGTAGAGGTCTAAGATTAATAGTGGTTAAAGGGGTACATAGGCAATTAATGTTCTGTAATTAGCCTTTTTGTTAACTAGAAACACTTAAAACTATTTCAAAAAACAAACTAATTTTAAAGCAATATCTGATGAAGGCTACCACAGGAGGGAGAAAAGATGGAAATTGATTCTTTCCACCAGTTGCTCTTTCACACCATTTTTTTAATTGATTTTTTTTCACCAGTTGCTCCTTCATGCCATTTCTAAACTGGCAGAAGAATCTTGGCCTAGGAGTACTGCCAGTCTAACAGATGGCTGTAAGTGCTGCTAGTCAGGAGAAATCAAAATGTGCATCAGTTTTGAGGATTGGGATTATACTCTTATCCAAGGGCTATCAAAGCAAAAGCCTCATCCAGATTTTCTTCTCAGCTATAAAGGTGTAAAGGTATACATTATATTATATTATATTATATTATATTATATTATATTATATTATATTCATATGTTCATTTATTTACGGTCTTAATATCAAAGAATGGAAACTTTTGGTCTTTTAATAAAGTACCATCAGGAATAAATCCCATTTTAGATCTATTTAGATCTGAATCTTTAGAGGTTGCTTCTGAAGTCTGATTTTTTTATTCTGTCTTACAAGGCTGACTTGTGCATTGGTCTTGATCCTGGCTTATGCGAGCAGATCTACATTGGTGCTTAACTTGGAGCCTGGTACTCTGTTCAGGCTCAAAACTCCTACGTTTTCCACACAACCACAAACCACAAACACAGGGTTTGGGTTTTATTTATCCTCTCTGACCATTTCTGGTGTTGGTCTAGTACACTGTAAAATTGGATTTGGATGTCTTACTTTCTTTTCCTTTAAACTTTCTACAAGAGTAACTGTCTTAAAGCAATATGTTTTATTTGTTATTATAATATTGTAATTATTATAATTTGATATTATAATAAATAACAATATTTGATATTACAATACCTAAAAATCATCTGTTTCACTTGATCTAATATTTCATTAGTGACACAGCTCGGTGAGACAACCTTTTCTCCAGCCACAAAACTGAACAAATATAATTTTCTGAATTCAGTTTTCCTTTTTCCTGCTGGTTTAGTGTGCTTTAATTTCTCAGAGAACATTGAAGTTATTGCTGTTACTTAGATATTGTATCTTAATGGCTTTTAGGTCCTAGAATTCACTGAAGAGCACACACAAATTTTGCTGTCACCTGTGAAAACTAAAGAGGATTTTTTTAAAAAATTTTATTTCTACAGTACAATACAGAATTCACACTTTTAGAGATTGACCTGAAAAGAAACCAGTGAACACCCCCCACATCTTAAGAGACTTTCACATTTTTTGCATAGACCACTTAGAAAATTATGTATAGATAAGATTAGAATTGTCACATGAGAATCAATCAGTCTTATAAAGCAGTGGCAATATATAGATCATGATCTAAGGACTTGTTCACCTTCTCAAATCTATAGAAAAGAGCAATTTTTCTTCTGAAGCAGTTCTTCCAAATGCCTTATTTTTGTAATAATATAAGACCTTACTTTTGTAATAATATTAGGTGCTTTATCAGCACCTTTAAATGTCAGGAAAAAGAAAAGAATCTAGTAAAATTACTTCAAAACAGCAGTACTCTGAAATACACAATTTGTATTCTTTTCATATTAAAAATGTGGACAACTACTGCCATACAGCTTAACAAATTCCTGTCGTATTGTTACTAAAACTTTGCTTTATCTTCTAATCAGAACAAATAAAACCAGAGGAAAA